GGGGGGGGGGGGGCGCACCTCTGTGAGGAAGCCCACCACCATGAGCGCCGCCCAGCCGGCCATGAAGAAGCGCAAAAACGCGGCCGCGGTGGCCACCTTGCTCTTCCGGAAGAGGTAGCACTCGACGAGGGCCAGGCTGCGTTTTGGGGGTGGGGCGTGGTGGGACAGGACGCAATGACAGTGGTCGGGTCGGTGAGGGAGGCGTTTTTGGGGTGTCGTGCTGCCGGGGATCGAGAAGCGAGGTCGCTTCAGCGCGGGGGGGCCGTCACGATGCGCGGCGGCGTTTCGAGGCAGGCGCAGACGGGGCCCGTCTGGTGGGCCGTCACGGGTCCGGCAAGGGCGGCGGGGCCCCTGGTCCCGCGCCATCCTCGCACCTGAAAACAAACACGATCGCCGGGATGAGGGGGGCCCAATAGTCTTCGATGGTGTCTGCGTAAGGTGATGGAAAACGCGACGGTGCGGGCGGTAGGTCTCGCATAGTTTCGCGTGCAGCAGCAGGGCGTGCGGGTCTCGAGCCATGGCTGGCGGCAGGCGGCGCAACCGGGCATGAGACGTTGCATGACGCGATGCATGCAGTTGGGGTCGCTGTAAGCAGCCGTGTTTCGGGGCGGGCTGCAGACACCCGCTGTGGCGGCCTGGGGCAGCCAACGAGGCTCACTGGGCTTGTTCGCGTAAGAGATGGTCTGTGGAGTGCAAAGGCGGGGGGTGCCACAACGGGGTGCTGGCCGTCAGCCGCGGGGGGGATGCACGGCGTGCCGCGGTGCCAGCACACACTAGGAATGCGTGCACACGGCTGGGCACAGGCCCAGGGACTGGAGACACAGGGGCGACGCGGTGGCCTGCAGGTTCAGCTCAGAGGCAGGCCTGGCCGGGGCATCAATCTGCATGATGCGGTGCGAGCTGACGCAACGCGGCTGCTGTGGTTGCCCGAGGCACGCTTGCCGCATTCTGGTAGGCTCGTGCGCGGGATGCCTGCTGTGCGCAACCCAGCGCCTTGTTCACGTAGGGCTCACCGCATCATACAGGAACACGGGCCGCTGCACCGGGGCCTTGAACTCACAAATGCCGATGCCCACTGCGCAGACGAAGATCAGCTGCACGGGGCAGGGCGATTGGTGGGAAGTTGTCGCTTTGGGGTGGCACCCACAGCTTTGCGCGGGGCGCAAAACATTGCTCGGCGGCGGCTTGCTGCATGCACGAAGTGTTGGCGCGCATTGCATGATGGATATGCAGGGGGCGAGCGCGGCGCTTTGCAGCCATCAAGCTGCTCACGATGAGCAGGGCCCAGTCCTGCTGCGCCAACACAGTGCGGGCGTCTCTCCTCCAATTAGAAGCCCCCATCGCTGCTGCAGACTGCTGCCAGAGCGTGGGGACAGACCAGCGCGAAGGTCGCACAGGGGAGGGGTAACGGGGCGACTGACAAGAAAAACTGGTTTGGACCCGGCGTGAACTTTTGCTGCAAGCTCCGCAAAAGAGCTTCAACAATCGGGCCACACCCGGTCACCCGTTAGTTGCCAGATCATCAGCCGACAAGGTGTTGGGCAGCATACAAGTCACAAAATTATACGGTCAGCACGGCTCCGACAGTGAAGTGAGTCCGCCGGCAGCTGCCTTGCAGCTGCCCAAAATGGGCTGCCAGTCCACATCACTGCCACTGACCTGCATGATTTGACCACTGCAGCGATTTACTTTTCCCAGAGTGGAACAGGCCTACAGGTTAGACTCTGTGAGTGCAGATCATACTTGTTGCCACCCAGCGAAACCGCGACATTGATTAAGAGCAGTCGTGTGTGCTCTCTTTCAAGGCACTGCAACCCATTCCCTGGGATTGCAGTTGGTTGCATCTAGCGCTGCTGCTGAGGCTAGCATTTTCCTTGGCAGGAGTAGATGCCACGCGGTAAATCATGTACAACTAACACGTGGCAGTACACAGCCCTGCACGGCGCCGTGGCGAGCGCGTGCGGCTCGGGAGGAGGTGCACGTCGCACGTGGCCTCTTGGCAATCGTTTCAGCTGCCATGCAGGCGCAAGCCAGGCGTGGACAGTTGCAATGCTGGACACAGTGTGCGACAGGATTGATTGTAGGGGCTGTATTGCTGCTATGAAAGTAATCTCCAGGCGCATAACCTCTGCCTGTTGCCCCCTGCCTCCCCCAATGGCAACGGTCCTACATGCGTACACTGTAGTTGGCTGCTATCCATCCGCAACAGCAGTTACAAAACTCCCAGCTCCTCAACCACAAAGTCCAACTCAAGGCCGTCCTTGTACACGCGCTGAGGTGGATCAGGTGGGGGTGTGAGCGCTGGGGGACGTCAGTTGGGGGAAGGGCTGGTGAGCTGAGGTGGCGGGCACCAGGGGGCGGAGGGGTGATGAGGGGGTGAGGGTCTGTATCATGCAAATCAGCCCGGTTTGTCTAGGTGTGCCCCCCTACCCAAGAGCTGCGCACGCGGCTAACATCGCAACCTTCTGCGCAATACGACCCCACCTGCAGCAGGTCAATGTTTGGAAACGTCTCCGGCGAGCGCTGCGACGCGATGGGCACAGGCGTGGCCGTCGGACGATTAGTGGCGCACAAGCAGTCACATGCAGCGAGCAGGCCCACCACTTCGACCCGCTATCACGACACCGCGGCCGCTGTCACACCACGCTCGTTGCCACCATTGCCGGCGCCGGCAGGTGATGGGACGCGTGAGTAGCTGCAGCCGGCAGCCACAGGCAGCCACAGAATGCGGTTGCTTCCAGACCTCTGCAGACCACTCTCCTGTGCCGGCGCACTGCACAGTGCCCACTCTACTGACGCAAGCCCCATGGCTCCTCTGCAAGGCGCCCGCTCTAAGGACATAACCCACCTCTGCTGCCAACACGTCATCCCTGTCGTACATGCACAGCGCCGTGATCGCGCTCTTGCGCGTCAGCCGCTTCCCGTACTGCTCGTCACTGAAAATGTCGTAAAAGATCGCCAGCGACGCCAGCCGCCGCTCCTCGCTGGCCTTGTCGACGATGACGTAATCTAGGGACGGCACATATATGCGCTTGACGCTGACGGGCAGCGGCGGCATGTCCTTGAAGTCGTAGTACTCCTTCCGCTCGGCGCGGCATGCAACCGCATGGGCGCGGCGCGGCGCTGTGCGTGTGCGGCCTGCGAACTGCCGCCGCCATCGCTGCGGAAAAGGGGCCACTGTCGCCGCGGTGCACGAAGAAGGGGCCGCGCAGAGGTATGCGGACACGGCGACGTGGCGCTGCTGCAGTGGCGGCCGCGACCGGTGCTGGTGGAGATGCTGCTGCAGAGTTGCCATGCTGGCTGGTTGCATACCAAAACTTGGCGATCTGAGAGTTGTGCTACCATGCACGCATGCTATTCCTCGCATTGGCTGCATCGACGGGCAGCTGGTGGGGTGTGTTACTGCAGATCGTTGAATTGCTGATTGGATGGATGTAGTATTGTTTCGACTACCGCGGATACAAGCTTTTTATATTGACCAATCGCATGACACCGCAATTGCACCAGAGATCAAAAAATTTGAGCGTGGCGCGAATGATCGCACTCCTCAATTCAATGATCCCTTCCTCCGAGACCTCTTGGGGAATGGTTTGAATGTATACATAGGCTCGCGGTGCTCGCCAACCCCCTGATCGAAGCACGAGCGTGCTGCGCTGGACCTCATGCTCACGGGCGGGCTTTTGGCACCGCCCCAGCAGGCGCTACAGGACCTCGTAGGTGCTAATAGCAGCGACGTGAAGCTAGCCCTGCTCGAGGCCCGCCTGACGGGCAGACCCGGGAGCGGCCAGGCGGCCGTGCCCCCACCTGCCGGCCCTAACGCCACATCGGGCGCCTCCAACGGCAGCGACCACGACCCCAGGATGAGTGGTCGCACAAGCCGTGCCACACCGCCGCCTCAGACTGCAGCGCCTAGCAGCGCCGTCGGCAGCAACCAGCGCCGTCCGGCGAGCGGTGGGGGGCAAGCAGGTGCAGCCACGGGTACCAAGGCGCTCGCCCCCATGTCGCCAGCGGCGGCAAGCGATGCGGCGCAGCCGCGTGACGCGCCGACTGCGGCCGCGCAGCAGCCGAGCAAGAGGCGCAAGACCTCCAAGCCGCTGCACCGGCAGCTGGACGGCGGCAGCAACGGCTTCGGCACGGCAGCACCCAGCCGGCTGGACCAGGGCGGCGGCGCCGCCAGAGGCGGCGGCGGCGCTGCAGGTGCTGCTGCCTTTGCTGCAGCCTCCGCCACGGCTGACAGAAGCCAGCAGGCCGCTATTCAGCAGCAGCAGCAGCAGCAGCAGCAGCAGCAGCAGCAGCAGCAGCAGCAGCAGCGGCAGCCCCTGCAGCAGCTCGTCCCGCCGCTCGAGGCAGAGCCTGGTGCCGGAGCCCCCTCGAGGGCGCCTCAGCGGGAGCCCATCATTATCATTGACGGCAACAGCAACCCGCCCTCGCCCTTCCACCAGGGTGAGAGCCTTCGGCCGAGGCCCGGCAGGCGTGAGCGTGATGGGTCATGAGCACGACGAGCGGCTGTGGGGCTCACACTCATGGTATTGCAGGGACGGCCAATCGCGCGCCTCAGCTGCGGCCCCGCCCCACCCCTACCCCTGCGCCGCAACGCAGGCCCCCGTCAGCAGCAGGGTGCCCTGGCCCCCAGCCGGACACCGCGCTCCGCTTCCAAGCAGCCCATAAAGGGGCAGGCCCCCATCAATCGCTTCTTCCTGCCAGCTGGCAACAGCCACGACGGCCACAGCCGCGACTCGGACCCGACCTCTGCCGGCGTGGCTCGGCAGCAGCAGCAGCAGCAGCGGGAGGAGGCCGCCGCGGCGGAGCAGAGGCGGCAGCAGCAGGAGCGGCGGGACGAGGAGTCGCGGCAGCTGAGGGAGCGGCTGAGGCGGCAGGAGCAGGAGGCGGGGGAGCTGCTCAGGCAGCAGGAGGACTCAAGGTGGGGTTGCCGGCCAGGATCAGGATGTGCACGTGGATTTCACAGCAATACATTATGCTTTGCCTGCAGCAAACAAACAGCGTTTATGGAGGGAGCACTCGGGCTCCTTAGGGGGTCTCTGTCCCCATCCTGGGCGGTTAGAGGGCAACGCCGGCAGCCAAGCGGAGGGACGTGCCTGCTTGATAAGTCATGCTCAGCGCTGCAGCATCTGGGGTTGCCTGTCACGGCTGCTGCATGCGCGGGGCGGAGACGGCTGCGTTTTGCAGCGAGCATTGCGGCCCAGAGGCTCGCACTTCACGCCGCGCTTGCCCATGGCGTGTGTGTGCAGGCGGCGCGAAGCTGAGCTGGCGGCCCAGCTGGACGCAGCGCGCGGGAGCGGGCTGGACGCGCAGCAGCAGCTGGAGGCGGCGCAGCAGGAGCTGGCGCGCGTCAGGTGGGCGCCGGCCGCGACTGCGGCGATGCCCTGGGTTTGGGTGGTGCATCTGCGGGCGACCCGCTCCAGGTCAACCATGCCAGCAACGTAGCTGCTGTTTATGCCGCTACTATTGCTGCTGCTGCTGCTGCTGCTGCTGCTGCTGCTGCTGCTGCTGCTGCTGCTGCTGCT